CAGGTTTGATGATCAGGCTTGATGGATCCCTGGGGCTCTCTGGTCATCCAGCTTAGTATAATTGGCAAGCACCAGGTACCATGGAGAGATTCTATCTGGAGGAGGGTGAGCAGGCAGTCAGAAAAGAGAAAAGAGAGGTGGATCGCTCTTGAGAAATAATATCCAAGATTGATATCAGGTCCACATGTGTACTTCCTGGCATACACATACAGGTAACTGTCACCTGCTATTTTGGATAAAGCTGCCTTCTCTAGCTGCAGCAGTCTCTTCCTGGCCTGCTTCCCCCATTTACGATTCCTGCCTGCCCCTGTAGTGTGGTGGTAGATTGTGGACCCTAATAAGATTTGCCTGAGGATCAGAGGACAGAGCCAGCCACTAGATTAAACATAGAGGCCAGGCAGTGATGGCACACACCTTTAATCCTAGCACTCGGAGGCAGAGATCCAGATGGATCTCTGTGAGCTCAAGGCCACATTGGGCTGCATGAAATTAACTCAGTCTAGGAGAGAAACAGAGCCAGGCAGTGGTGGCACACACCTTTAATCTCAGTACTTGGGAATCACAGGCCTCTAACCCCAGCAAGGTATATAAGGTGGGAGGAGACAGGAACTAAAGGGTTTTTCAGGCTGAGGAGTTAGTGAGGTGAGAGGTGGCTGTGGCTTGTTCCTTTGTCTCTCTGATCTTTCAGCATTTACCCCGATATCTGGTACCAGGTTTTTTATTATAAGACCATTTTATAATCCTTGGTGTTTATGTTTCTTGAGCTAGATGGTTCCTTCTGGTCTCCCACTGCAGTAGTACTAACAGCTATCAGTTAGCAAATAGTCACTTACAGGGGCCACCCACAGCAGCACACAACTTACATATACGAGCTTGTTTCAGACTTGTAAAAAGCCTGCAAGGTAAGACTATTAGCTTTACCCCTTAGATGAAATCCGAGGCCCAGATCCCTGGATAAGTTTGCCCACCGTCAACACTAGAGAGCAACATAGCTAAGACTTGAACTTGGACCTGCCCAGGCCTGAGACACGACTCTCACATCTCACTGTTCTGATGGGTACTTATCTGTCAACCTGCGGCTGGAATCAAAACTGCGGTGCATTTTCAAAATTGTATGTATTTATTTTACTTTAGTTGGTTGTTGCCTTTGAGAAAGGATTTCTCTGTGTAGTCTTAGCTGTTCTGGGGTCCCTCTGTGGACCAGGCTAGCCGCAAACTCAGAGATCTGTCTGCCTCTGCTTCCCAAGTGCTGGGACTAAAGGCATGGACCACAACTCTGGGTTATACTGCAGTACATTTTAAATAAAAATTTATTATGTGTAGTATGTGTCTATGTGTGGATATTAATAGGTTTTCTCTGTAACCCCTAGGTGTCTCTAGGATGCTGTAAGCCAGATCAAGCTGAATTGAAAAAGTAAAAGAACAGGTATATTTGAGTAAAGCAACTCCTGGGTGAGTCCTCCAAGCCCAGAGATCGGCCAAAGAAGTCATGCGTCCCAACTAAAGCAGGGAGCATATATACCCTGTAGGCGAGACAGACTTGTCTTCCACAAGCTGGGTTTGTGCCCAAGCGTGGTCAAAAACTGACTGCTTTAGGCGGGGTCTTGGGCTACTGGCAACTTCCGGGGAGGAGCTGCCGAAGTCTCCAAGAATTCGGAACTGGGCTTTTTGGTGCCTTTGCTTTGTTGGATATTCTCTGAGAGGGTGGCATTTGGAGAGAGAAGAATCGGACTTTCCAGATCATGCTTGAGTGAACTGGAGGTTCCACCCAAACAGATCTGTGCATGTGAATGCAGTTATCAACAGAAGCCAGGGATGTTGGATCCCTGGAGATGGAGTTGGAGGTATGGGCATGCTGCTGTGAGCTGGGAACCCAGCTCTGGTCCTCTGGAAGAGCCTTAATACTCAACCACTGAACCGTCTCTGCGGCCCAGCGGTGGATGTTTAAAAAGACTCCAAAGTGCCATGCTGTGGAGATGCAGGGATGTGTGTGGCCAGATGGTAGGAAATGACGAGGTAGGAAGGTGATGAGGAACTTCCTGTGTGGGTCACAGCTTCTCAGCACTGAGGCTTCAGGGCGGGAGCCTAGAGAGGTCTAGGGGTGTGGCTCAGTGGCACAGTTTACACGAGGCCTTGGATTTGGATCTTCAACACTACAGAAAAGTAAGAAAAAAGCAGGTAGGGAAAACCTTATCCTTACCCGTAGCTGGGCCTGGTGATGCGGGTCTCTAATCCTGCTCCATTCTTTTGCAGGTGGGATCAGCCTTCTCACAGGCTTGGGACAGGAACAGCACCTAGGACCTAGGGAGCTGACAGTTTCCTCAGGGTGAGAAGGAAATGGAAGAGAGGACTTGTCCAGAGGCACCCTGTTCCGCGGCACATCAGGTGGGTGGCTCCTAGGCCTAAACCAAGCCTTGTAGCGAATCCAAGGCCTGGCGTGCTCAGGGTTGGCGGCCCGGGCGGGCGGGCAGGGAAGCCCGCACAGGAGCTCCAGTTGCAGGCCAGGCGGTGGGCCCCCTTTCCACCTGCCTTAGGGCACCCCACCGAGGGCGGGAGAGATGGAAAGAGGTAGTCCAAGACGGGTCGGATTTCCAGCCAGCTCCCACCTCACAGGAGGCGGCCCATTATCCGGCGTCGTTAAAGAGCAATTAGATGGAAATTAAGCCGAGAACAAGTATTGATTATCTCATTAAGGCCGGGGGAGCCCGCTCTGTCGGAGTGAGTTTACCGCGGCTCACCCCATTATCTGCAAGGTGAAAACCTGTGGTCATCAACATCCAGCGAAGGATCGATCTTGCCCCAAATCCATTCCTGACCCTCCTTCGTAGAATAAGTGGGTTCTAGAGAGATGACATCGGGGGTGTGAGGAAATAGAAAACTGCATGCACGTGCACACCCACACCAGTACACTCCTTAGCACATTCTCTTTAGTTCCTCTCTCATGTTTTCCTTAACACTACTGGGGCGGGGGGCAGTGACAGTTCACATAACTCCAGGATTGGAGCGATGTCCTAGGTTTTACATCGAAGGAAGAGAACCAGAGTAGAGACTGATTTTTTTAACTTTCTTTCTTTCTTGTCTCTTAATACAAAATAGAGGGTATTTCTGGGCCCCAAATCCTAACCTGGGAAGGAGAAGACCATCGTGGCCAAAGGATAGCCAGGAGCCACCTGAAATCAGGAAGAAAATCGGCGTTGCATAAAGATGTGTGCAAGCTGGCTGTGGGCCTGAGACAAGCAGCTTCGCTTCTCTGGGCCACTTCAAGGATAGGGCTGGACAGTGCTGAAGCCCAGGCCCTAACACTTCATAGTCTGTCAAAGTGCCCGGGACTCCGGCTTGCAGGCACCAAAGGATGCAGCAATGTGCTCCTCACCCTGACTTCCAAGAGCTTCTGGCTTCACAGGAGAGAAGGTTCAGAACTTATAAACACAGAAATAATTAAAAGGGGGCTGGAGAGACGGCTCAGTGGTTAAGAACACTTGTTGCTCTCCCAGAGGACCCAAGTTCAGTTCTCAGCACTCACATGTGACGCCTCCCAGCCACTTGTAACTCCAGTTCCAGGGGTCCTAATCCCTCTTCTGACTTCTATGGACACCCCCGACACGAAGAGATATCCATATACATAAATTAAAAAGTAAATTGTTTAAACAAAGGTGACTCTAAAAAAGAAACACTAAATTATCATCACACGTGACTCAGAAGAGTGCAGGTGCTGAGTGTTTGGAGGGTGTGCACAGGAAGCAGATGTCCCCATTCAGAGAGAGCAAACAAGCCTGTTGCCCATTCAACGTCCAGTTTCTCAACAACGAACAACGGAGCCCATGGTATGCAAAACCATTGTCCTTTCCACCCACCCAACGCCCAGTCTAGTCTGGAAACGGACACCAAAGCTATAATGGCACAAATAAAGTATCTGAAAAGCTGTCAGCGTGCAATGGGTGAATACAAGAGTTTGGGGGTAGTTAAAAAAAAAAACAAAAAAAAACCCACGATGGTCGGTTCATGATTTAAGATTCGAGTCTGGGAAAGCTGAGGAAGTCCCTCTGGAGAGAGCCAATTTCCTCCTACATGCTCCAAGACCAGGCCTTTCTTTGGAGCTGGCCCAGATCTGGGACGCAGCAGGGAACACTGACACTAACAACCCTGCTTTTGGACTCACCTGAGAGCCTAGGACGCGCCAAGGGCTGGGGAGGAGGGGAGTGCGGCCAGGTGGTGCGCCCTGCCCGCCCGCGCCGCCTTGGCCCGCACAGAGCGAGCAGAATCCGGCGCCCCGGATTCTGGGCTCGTCTCCCTGCCCCGGGGCCGGGCAACTATTAATCTTGGTTGACGGTTTCTCACGTCCTAATTGGGAGGTGGGGGGAGCGGCCCAGTCCGCCTAAAGGTAGGAGCGGCTAATGGGCCTCTTCATCACCGCCAGGAACGGGTCCCTGGCGGAGCGCGAGGGCGCTGCAGCAGGTGAGACCGGGCTGGCGGCCCTTTAATGAAGCTGCCTGGGCTAGGGTGCTCAGAAGGGAGATCGGGGGAGAGGGGGTGAGTGGAGGGTAGCCCACCCCCCAACTGACAGCCCAGCTCGGGAGTTCAGCTGGGAACCTTTTACCCCAGGAGGCCTTCTTGGAGCACAGTGCCTGCCGGGCTGAGGAGGGAGGGACGGTGATGGACGTTGGCGGGATTTGGGGGAAGACCTGAGAGCTAGGTCGCCCTGCAATAAACGAGGACACAGCATAAAGTGGGCGCTCCCAAAGTCAATAGAACCTACCGATCCCTAGCTCCCTGGCTCATACATTAAAGACAGAGGCGCCGGGACTGTGCTACGACAATCATAAAGGTAAAATTCAAGCAGGAGCAATAAGATGACAGGAGACGGGCATAGAAGAAAAATGACTCAGAAGGCTCAGTCCAAAGACTGAGTCAGTCTCAATGGAGCGAGTGTAAACACCTGGCCTTCGGACCGCAGTGTCCCAGTCTTTCCATAGCTAGCCTGTATAGCCTGTATCCCCATCTGTGACTCACTTTCCTCGCTGAGGCAGCTTTCTGAGATACACACACACACACACACACACACACACACACACACACACACACACACACACACACACTCCTCCAAAGCCTGTTCTTTCTTTAGCAAGCTGTACTACCATCTACTCAGAGGAGCCCACCCCAATCCAGACTCAAGCTGTCCTGGGGGCGAGGAAGTGCCCACCTCGCCATTCTGGACTCTCCTTGGCCCTCCCTCGGGACAGCTGCATCCGGGAACGGGAACACCGACTCCTCTAAGAGTTTCGCCTTCTCGGGCCAGCTGTCAGCCTCTCTCCCACCCCCTCTTGCTTCTAGCCGCATCAGAAATATATTGTATTCTCACCTAATCCTGTTCAATTGCAGCATAATAAAACACATAATAAAAACCTAATTCATTTTTCTCCCGCGCCCCCCATCTCCAGGCATCTTCTTGCTCGGGATTAAAAATCTGTCTTCATGTTTGTGGCACTGCAGCCCTGGCGCCTCCGCATCTTTAATGTATGAGGCAGGGAGCTGGGGACCCGCGGGTCCTGCAGTATTCACGCCCTGGCGGCGCCTGCTAGTCACCTGAGGATGCTGGTGGAGAAGGGAGGGAGGGCCGTGGACCCACGAGAGGCCCCATTGCCTCCCTTTCTCCCAGATGTCTAGTGGTTGGAAGATTGTTTATCTGCCGGGTCCATCAGATTTCTGGTTGTAGCCTCCAGGGGGCGCATAGTAAAGCATGTCTCTGGAGATCCAGTTTTCCAAGGAGACCAACAATAGTAATGTAGCCCGGAGAAGATGCAGAGCAGGGCCGGGGGAAGAGCGCCCTCCACCCCCTTTTCAGTTCTGATTCTGATGGCTGGAGCTGGCCTGGGCAGTGAAGCTCTGACTTTCAGTCTCCATCTCCATCCACAGCTGCCATGCCCGGGCCCTAGAGGCCCCTGAATACCTTCAGATCACACTGTGGACCAGTGAAGCAAGGGTACGATGTCCCAGATGGAGATGAGTATACAGTGAATGGCTGAGGGTGCAGCCCTATAGAGAGCGCTTTCCTAGCTTGCGGAAAGACCCTTGCTAGCACCACCCAGAGGGGAAAAAATCCAGCAATGGAGCATTTTGTACAAAGACAATACTGCATGGTTTCACAGATCTGAGACTGGAAAATCATTCCTGGAATGTTCCTTCTTACCATTATTTCAGAAAAGTCCCTAAGCTTACAGTTGTGGAACACTCAGTTTTCCAGTGTGTCTTTTTGTTTTGTTTTGTTTTTTGTTTGTTTGTTTTTTCACAGCATTTAGTGGGAGCTGGATGTAATGGCTCATACCTGTAAATTCAACTCCTGGGGAGGTAGAAACGGAAGGATGGCTTGAGCCCAGGAATTGGAGACCAACCAGCAAGATTCTATCTTTAAAAAAAAAAATACAGAAATATCTAAAAGTCCCCTTAAATATTTAGAGCTGAGCAACTTAAATCCTTATACATGAGTAACTCTGTACCTGTTTGAAATACTAAAGTACCTAGCTTGGGAACAAAAAAGGAATGTTTTTATCCTCATGTGTACATGTCCATGCACGTGTATATGGAGGCCTGAGGACAACCTCAAGGGTCATCCTCAGGAACACTATCCACCTCCTTTGAGATAGGGCTCTTGTTGGTCTGAAATTCATCAGTTAAATTTGGCTGGCTGAACCGTGGGCACCAGGCATCCCCTTGACTCTGTCTCTCTAGTACTGGAATTACAAGCACCCAACACCTGACATTTTTACATGGGGATCAAACTTGGGCACACTAAGCCATTCCTCAGCCTCTCAAATGAATATTTTAAAATTTATTCTTGCAGGGTGTGGTGGTGCACACCTTTAGTCCCAGCACTTGAGAGGCAGAGCAGGCAGATCTCTGTGAGTTCGAGGCCAGCCTGGGCTACAGAGGGAGTTCCGGGGCAGCCAGTGCTACACAGAAAAACCCTGTCTAAAAAAGAGAGAAAGAAAGGAAGGAAGGGAGGGAGGGAGGGAGGGAGAGAGTGAGAGAGAGAGAGAGAGAGAGAGAGAGAGAGAGAGAGAGAGAGAGAGAGAAAGAAAAGAAGAAAGAAAGATTTTTGTTTTTGTTTTTTTTGTAATCTGTATTGGTGTTTTGCCTGCATGTCTATCTGTGTGAGGATGTCAGATCTAGAATTATAGACAGCTATAAGCTGCTATGTGGGTGCTGGGAACTGAACCCTGGTCCTCTGAAAAAATAGCCAGCACTCTTAACCACTGAGCCATCTTTCCAGCCCTGAAATATATTCCTTCTTAATCCTTGTTGTGTAACAGTTTCCTCCGAGGAGTGAAATATTCCATCCTTCAGGAAGCTCTTTGAGTAGGAAGGTAAACAACTCAAAATAGCTTCAGGAAGTTCCTGAAACTTATCAGATTCACTAGGCCCCTCCCTGCTATAGTGAGCAATAAAAGCGGAGAGTCAGTGAAAGGAAGCTGAACTACAAAGAAGACTCTGAAACCAGAACAGCTGCCTGAAGGAGGCAGAAACCAGCCAAGCTTCCTAAAAGAGGTTTAGACCAGCTGAGGCACCTGCTGAGCTGCCTGCAGGCTGTGCAGTGTGCTCCAGGTTCCAGCTTTGTGAGTTGTCACCCGTGCTGGGGTGGGTTTTGGTGATGCAACTGTCTTTGTGTCATTTCTGATCCTTTAAGCTAATTCCTCTCCCCATCCCTGTAAGTAACCCCAATAAAACTGATGGTTCACCAGGTTGAACTTTGGTGTTATTTATCTATTTTTCGGTCTGTCTGTTCTGTTGTAGCTCTCTCTGGGGTGAGTAGCTATAATGTGATGACTAACATTGTATTGACGGCTAACTTTATGTTCAAAGTTCAAAATGTCAGGGGGTTGGAGAGATAACTCAGAGGTTAAGAGTTCTTCCAGAGATCCTGAGTTCAATTCCTAGCAACCACTTGGTGGCTCACAACCATCTGTAATGAGATCTGGTGCCCTCTTCTGGCCTGCAGGCATACATGCTGTGTACATAATAAATAAATCTTTAAAAAAAAATTAAAATGTTTGTCCTTACAAGAACTATAAAGCAAAATTGGACTTTCAAATGTTAAGAGCTGCTAAGGGTTAATTTTATAATTGCCTGGGCTTGTACAACTTTAACAAAATTGCTATTTCTGCTTCTGTAAGCACAAGCTTGCTTTCTACGAGATGACCTTCTACTTGCATGAAGACAAAATGTAAGTTTGTGTTCTTTGCCTTTAAAAGATCCTGACTAATGTGACTGCCAGCCACATTCAGGAATTCCAAGTCTGGGGTGCAGACCTTGAAGGGGACTCCCACACACTGGGGGTACTCTCCCAGACTCCGGATTCAGCACAAACCACACCCAAACACCTGTTTTCACAGAGAGATTCTTTTTTTTATCAGGTTAAAGTGGCTGCTTTCTGACTCAGGCAAAAAACAGCAGCAAAGAACCTTGCAGGTTAATTTTTAAGAGAGATGGATCCTCCATGCTACACTATTGACCTGGCGAGCAAGACCTGACCACTGGTGCAAAAGTGGAATGATTGTTATGGGGGTAACCAACCACTTTCCATTTTCAAGGTCTGTTCCACAGGAGGGCTCACTCTCTCTCTCTCTCTCTCTCTCTCTCACACACACACACACACACACACACACACACACACACACACACTAAAATC